CCCTGAGCTATCACACTTAGGGCAGAAGCTTGAGAGGAAGAGTTAAGCTTGGTTTCCTGACTAATTGAAATTGAACGTGTGTGTGTGTGTGTGTGTGTGTGTGTGTGTGTGTGTGTGTGTGTGTGTGTAGAGAGAGAGAGAGAGAAACAATCCTAGGTTTAAGGCTAAAACAACCAGGTGAACTGAGGTACCATTTGCTGACTTCGGGATGATGGGAACAGGAAAATTGTGAACAAGGTAAGTTTTCTGACACTAGATATCTAAGGGGACATTTCCAGTGAATGAGTGGATTCCTAAACCCAGCTCAGGGATGTGTCCGAGTTGAAGAGATAAAATGGAAGCAGTTGGGGTTGGTAGGCTACCAGGGATCCTATGGGATTCAGGAAGAACTGAGTCATGGCCAGGAAAGGCTGAGTGTGAGGACAAGGTCTCAAGGTGGGAGTAGAAGCTGAGGGGATGGCTGAACGTTTCCACTTGGGAAACTGAGAAAAATCAACAGTTCAGGGATGAAACACCCAGGAGCAACCTCCTGCAGCCCTGAGCTGGGATTGCTGGCGGGGACCCCAGCTGGTAGGGATCCCTGATAACTGGATGGGGGACTTTCACAACTATGTCTCACCTGGAAGTAAGTACCTGGGCTGGATATTGTTGGTTCACAGTTCCAATCGGGTTGTTTCCCTATGTGTAATGATTTGTGCCAGTGGGGCTGGCCAGTCCCTGAGGACACCAAAGGCCAGGCTTGACCTGAGGAGGAGGTAGACTAGAAAACGGGAAGTTTTCAGAGCTGGGCAATCTCCTTAGACAATGAGGCAAAAGGCAGAAGGAAGGGGGAAACAGATTAGCAGCTAGGGGCTCTGATAATGGCTGTGTCCAATAAATGAGGAAAAGGTGCTCCTCATTGCCTAGGGAAGCATGGCAGGCAGCAGGTGCTAGCCACTTGGATTCAAATCTGAGCTGAGCCACTTTTCTCACAAGCCTGTTTTCTCACAAGCAGAAGAGAACCTGGCACACAGTGTACTAGGTGAGCCAGTGCCTGGAACAATGGCTGGCATAGAAGCAAACACTCAGTAAACACTACCAGCATGTAGAGACAGTACTGAGTCCATGAAACTTCTGCCTCTGTGTTTGGAGATGACTGCCCAGCTTCAGAGTATCCCACACAGATGAGGGCGGACTGCTGGCTTGATCAAGGTAGGAGAATAGCACAGTCAGGAGGGATTGGAACAGCCTGCATAGGCAAAAGTACTATGGGTTTCCATGTAATTGCTAAGCTATGCTTATCCCAGACACTTGTAGGCTACAGTCTTCATCTTTATGCATTCATCCCTAAGACCAATGTATGAACTGCTACAAACTGGGTGGCTTCGAATGACAGATTTTTGTTCTCTCAGATCAGGAAGTCAGAAGCTCAAGTCAAGGTAGGATCCTTCTAAGAGCTGAAAGAGGAAACTATCCCATGCCTCTTTCCTTGCTTCTAGTGACTTCCAAACTTTGACATTCCTTGGCTTATTGGTGCCCTCCCCGTCTTCCTCCTCCTCCTCCTCCTTCCTCCTCTTCTTCTAACACTACATCATTGGATTTAGGGCCCACCCTAAGTACTCACCCTAAGTCCAGGATTTATTACATCTGCAAATATTTTCCAATAAAGATAACTACCACCTCCTTCCCCTCCCCCTCCTTCTCCATATGAGACCCAATGCCCAGCACACTTCTCTGCTCAAGTGGCCCAGAGATGAGCATGGGAATCATAAGGGATTTTTTTGCAAGAGAAGAGAAGAGCAGACACTGTGTGCAGAGACTCGGTGGCACTGAAGAGCTGGTGACAGCTACCTTTAAGAACTTCCTTTAAGAACTTCCCTTATGGCTTGGTTACCTGAGCCAATATGTTTCCCCTTTTACCTAAACAGGTTCATATTTGTTTTCTGTCACTGGCAACCACTGCAATCTGAATTATCATCCCAGCTTAAAACAAAGGCTTATTGTACACACAGGAATCATCTTTGATTTTCAATTTAGAATTGGAGAATGAAACATTTATTTAAGCAAATCAGTATGCTTCAGTGAGGGAGTTAGTGCTAAAGTATTGATGGAGCTCTTTTTTATTCAGTAGAAAAGCAAAAGGAACAGTCAGTTACATTATTTTTTAAAATTTTGTGCCAGAACTGCAGATTGAACTCAGAGCCATGACACTGTCCCTTAGCTTTTTCATTCAAGACTGGTGCTTTACCACCTGAGCCACGGTACCACTTCTGGCTTTTTGGTCAATAATTGGAGGTAGAGTCTCATGGATTTTCCTGCCTGGGCTAGTTTTGAATTGTGATCCTCACATCTCAGCCTCCTGAGTAGCGAGGATTATAGGCATAAGGTAGACACTCAGCTAGTAATTTCATTTCTTAAACAGCTGTACCTTGTGGTAGGCAGACTTGGAGTATGGTCCCAGCCACCAACCTTCCCATCTTCTGGTATTCACAAACTTAGGGATTCCTTCTCTTGCATATAAGTTGAACCAGGAACTTGTGCCAAGGTGATAGGATGTACTGACTGTAATTAGGTTATAAAAGATTAGGATGGAGAGACTCTTTCTCTTTGTACTTTTGATGAAGCAAGCTACTATGTTGGAGAAGCCCACATGGTAAAGAACTTCTAGTAGTATCTGGCTAATAGCCAGCTTCAAACTTAGGCTCTCTTGGCAAATCAACAGAATAAACAAAGAAAAATACAGTCAAAGAGTGGTTCATGTGCTTCCCCAATGTAGCTGGTAACTGGCTTTCAGTGCTTGGCTGGGACATGCACAGAATAGCCCTTCCCTACAGTTGGACTTGGCACACACTATATCATTAGATGTGCTGAAGTAGTGATGGCAGTCATAGAGTGCTGGAGTAGGAGACTTATTTGCTTTAAACAATGACATGTATCCAAGGTTGGCCCTGTAATTTAATTTCATATGGTTACCCTTTGAAAAGGGAGTAAAAAGTGTTAGACAATAGCCAAGATATGGAAACAATCCAGATGTCCCACTACAGATGAATGGATCTAAAAATTGTTGTACCTATATACAATGGAATATTATGCAGCCATTAGAAAGGACAAAATAATGGCATTCACAGGGAAATGGATGGAACTAGAACAAATCATGTTGAGAGAAATAAGCCAAGATCAGAGAAATAAACAGCACATGGTCTCCCTGATATGCACATGTTAAATTCAAAACACGAGATATGACAAAGTAAACAGGATTCAAGAAACATAGGACCTCTTCTTAATTTGTCCTATTGTTTTTAGAGGACTCTATGTTCTTGACCCCACATATGGTATATACATGTGCACATCGGAGGGAAGCTAGGAGGAGGACACAGAATCAGAGGAAAACGGGGGAAAATATAGCAGAGGGACCCATCAACTGCACTGGACATTGATGAAAGTGAGCTACGCAACTCAAGGACAGCGATGGGAGGGAGGGAATGAGAGGGAAAGAGGGAACGGCTGACACTAAGCAAAAGGGAAGAAATGTACATATCACCCGATTTGGAAAAAAATAATTGTAGTGTCAAAGTTTGTAGAGTTCACAAACTTCGAGACCATAATAATGACAATTCACCTTGTGAAGGTTAAAATGTGTTTGCGACTTTAGCTAAGTATCACTATCCCACAAGATTGTGAACTTTATGTAATCACTTAATAAAGAATTTTTTAAAGCATTAGATGCTTTAGTGCTGAGCTCACTAATATCAGTACTGTATTCTGCAAAGGGAAAATTATACAAATATCTTGCCTTTCTTCCTTCCTTCCTTCCTTCCTTTGTTCCTTCTTCCCTCCATCTTTCTTCCTTCCCTTCATTTTTTTTGTAGTTCTAAAAGTTAAACTTAGATCTTGCTCATGCTAGGCAAGTACCGTACAACTGAGCTGTACCTCCTCTCTGGCCACCAAGATTACATTTTCTATTATATTGCATTCATCTCACAGAAAAAATACTTGAGAGAACTTATGTCAATGCCTGTAACAGGTACTCGTGTGTGTGTGTGTGTGTGTGTGTGTGTGTGTGTGTGTGTGTGTGTGTGTGTGTGGTCTTGTATTTCACATGAGAAGTATTTTTGCACATCCATCTTAGAAATACAGAACCATTAAGAATAAAACTCTGTTCTGCTAAGAGGGATGTACACTGTGAAGAAGAGAGAACCAGACCCCCGAAAGAATATGTGTTTTGTCTAAGTTAGAGAAGCAATCATAGGAACAAGAACAGATGCAAACTTAACCTAGATGTAGTGACACAAATAGGAAAGAATGATCCATTGGACTAAGGTCCAGAAAAGACTTGGCTGAGGGAGTTGACCCTGAGGTATCTACAACTTGTATTTTATGGAACTGGAGGCCTTGGGATATCATGAACTACAATAAGGAAGAAGGGAAAGGAATAAACATATGGACAAAGGATTTTTATCCAATTACAAGAACTTTGTTTTTTATTGAGGAAATGGGACCAGTATAGACAGCAGGTGAATAGGAAAAGAAGGGAAAACATAGGACAAGGACAGGGACATCCCTGGAGCACAAGTGAAAGAAAAAGGAGCAAGTGACCAACAGAGGGCCCCGATTGACAGTGCTAGAGGCCTGGTAGGGAATGGACATCCAGACTAAACTCACCATCCCCCCAGGCAACACAGGCCTCCATTATTTTCCTAAGTCTCTCAAAGTAAACAGCTTCCTTTTGCCCAATTATCCTGCACTTCCCAGCAAATTGAAGCCCATTGCTGAGCTTAAATGGCTTTTCCAGGTCACTGGCCGCCAGCTAGGTTCAGTTCTCCCAGGGTCTGCTGGCCAGAGTTCAAGGTAATTCTTGGTACTGTTCTCCTTGTTGTTGTTAGCTGATCTAGGAGATTAGGTTGCTGTGGGATAATGTTCACGGACTTTGTTTGAGGCCATACAATCCAGTAAAAGGAGGAGCATGGATGTGAATTATTGAGGAAATCTCAGGTTCTCAATTCCCTCACCATTCTGATATGTCAAGAAACCTGAGAGGCCTCAGCACTGGGGTGCTGCAGCTGGGATTGAGCAGCCCTCGGTGTCTGCCACAGATTGAGACCCAAAGTCTGGGGCTCGTCTCCAGCCTTCAGTGTGATTTCCCCAAAAAATCTCCTGCCAATAGAAGAAACCCAACTCAGAAACCACACTCATTCTGGGCCCTGGGTGTATAGGTAGAAGGCAAGGAGGAGCGCAACATCTGCTTTCCACTGCAAGCGCCCAGGGGAGGCAAAGTCTTCCCTAAAGAGATGCTCAGCTGAAGTGTAGCTGCAGGAGGTATCACCCCTGGCCTTAGGGAGCTGTTATCCCACACACAAGCACACACACATGTGCCATGATTGTAATACCTAGAACAAAGTACAAGCAACTAGCACAAAGTACAAGCACAGTATAAATGCTGAGCTAGAGGCAAGAACAAATTAGACTACTATAGGAGATTGGCATAGAAGTCATCCACTCCTATGAGGTCTGCCTGTCAACCAGTGCAGAGCTGCACAAAGAATAGTAAATTTGAGCTTTGCCTGCTGGGTATTCTCAAGGAATCCTGTGGTCCCTTTCAGAATACAATGGTTGCAAGGATCTTCCTTGTCCATCCCTTAATTTTTAGTTTATTTTCTGGACTAGAGAAGGGGAAGGTGGAGAGAAAGGGAGAGTAGTCCAATAGTAGCCTGGTTGATCAGGTTAGCTTTGGTCATCAGAAGGAAGCGCAAGTGTTTGTTCAGGCTTGTTATCATACTCCACTGTGCTTTCTTGGGCAACAAAGATTGCTGAGCCTGTGTGTGTGTGTGTGTGTGTGTGTGTGTGTGTGTGTGTGTGTGTGTGTGTGTGTGTGTGTGTGTGTGTGTGTGTGCATGCTGGTACTACAGCTTCACTTCTGAGCCTGGGCACTGTCCCTTAGTTTTTTTTGTTCAAGGCTAGAGCTTTTTTTGTTCAAGGCTAGAGCTCTACCACTTGAACTATACTTCCACGTCTAGCTTTTTGGTGACTCACTGGAGATGAGTCTCAGACTTTTCTGTCCTGTCTGGCTTTGAACTTTAATCCTCAGATCTCAGCCTCCTGAGTAGCTAGGATTACAGGCATGAGCTGTTGGTTGACACTTGGCTATGAATCTTATGATATTTAAAAGCAGACTCTGAAGCTGGGTGCCAGTGGCTCACACCTGTAATCCTAGCTACTCCAGAAGCTGAGATCCGAAGATCATGGTTCAAAACCAGTCTGGACAGGAAAGTCCGTGAGACTCTTATCTCCAATAAACCACCCAGAAAACCAGTAGTGGCAGCGTGGCTCAAGTGGTCGAGCGCTAGCCTTGAGCTGAAGAGCTGAGGGACGGCACTCAGGCCCAGAGTTCAAGCCCCACATCCAACAACAACAACAACAAAAGCAGACTCTGATAAGCCTTGGGACTTGGGAAGGCTTTATGGAGGTCACATGAAGGTTGGATAGATTGTTGTTAATTTTGTTGTTGTTGTTGATGATGATGATGTTGCTGTTTTGAGACAAGGTTTTGCTGTGTAACTCAGGTTGGCCTCACAACCCTGCCTGAACATAGACTGCCACAGGAAGGGTAGCCAACGGAAGCTATACAGACTGTGGGCCTGCCTTCGCCTGAGTTTGTGTCAGACTTCTATTCCAAATCAGAGAAATGAACTAAAGTAACATTAAAAGGCATGAGGTAGAAGCCAGGCACTGTAATTGCCTGTAATCCTAGCTACTCAGGAGGCTGAGATGTGAGGATCGTGATTCAAAGCCTGCCTGGGTAGGAAAGTCTGTGAGACTCTCCTACTAACCATCAGGAGGAGGAAGTATAGGAGGAGGAGGAAGAAAAGAAAGAGGAGGTGGCAAAAATGGAGCTCTAGCCCAAGTGGTAGAGGGATAAACTTGAGCAAAAGAGCTCAGGGACCCAAGTTCTGAGAAGCAGCCAAGGTCCTCAGTGCTCCCAGCATCGCTGCTGCGGCTCTGTACCTCAGTGCTCCCAGCATTGGTGCTGCTGCTCTGTACCTCAGTGCTCCCAGCATCGCTGCTGCGGCTCTGTACCTCAGTGCTCCCAGCATCGGTGCTGCGGCTCTGTACCTCAGTGCTCCCAGCATCGCTGCTGTGGCTCTGTACCTCAGTGCTCCCAGCATCGGTGCTGCGGCTCTGAACCTCAGTGCTCCCAGCATCGCTGCTGCGGCTCTGTACCTCAGTGCTCCCAGCATCGGTGCTGTGGCTCTGTACCTCAGTGCTCCCAGCATCGGTGCTGCGGCTCTGTACCTCAGTGCTCCCAGCATCGCTGCTGCGGCTCTGTACCTCAGTGCTCCCAGCATCGGTGCTGCGGCTCTGTACCTCAGTGCTCCCAGCATCGCTGCTGCGGCTCTGTACCTCAGTGCTCCCAGCATCGGTGCTGCGGCTCTGTACCTCAGTGCTCCCAGCATTGGTGCTGCTGCGGCTCTGTACCTCAGTGCTCCCAGCATCGGTGCTGCGGCTCTGTACCTCAGTGCTCCCAGCATCGCTGCTGCGGCTCTGTACCTCAGTGCTCCCAGCATCGGTGCTGCGGCTCTGTACCTCAGTGCTCCCAGCATCGCTGCTGCGGCTCTGTACCTCAGTGCTCCCAGCATCGGTGCTGCGGCTCTGTACCTCAGTGCTCCCAGCATTGGTGCTGTGGCTCTGTACCTCAGTGCTCCCAGCATCGCTGCTGAGGCTCTGTACCTCAGTGCTCCCAGCATTGGTGCTGCTGTGGCTCTGTACCTCAGTGCTCCCAGCATCGGTGCTGCGGCTCTGAACCTCAGTGCTCCCAGCATCGCTGCTGCGGCTCTGTACCTCAGTGCTCCCAGCATCGGTGCTGTGGCTCTGTACCTCAGTGCTCCCAGCATCGCTGCTGCGGCTCTGTACCTCAGTGCTCCCAGCATCGCTGCTGCGGCTCTGTACCTCAGTGCTCCCAGCATCGGTGCTGCAGCTCTGTACCTCAGTGCTCCCAGCATCGCTGCTGCGGCTCTGTACCTCAGTGCTCCCAGCATCGGTGCTGCGGCTCTGTACCTCAGTGCTCCCAGCATCGCTGCTGCGGCTCTGTACCTCAGTGCTCCCAGCATCGGTGCTGCGGCTCTGTACCTCAGTGCTCCCAGCATCGCTGCTGCGGCTCTGTACCTCAGTGCTCCCAGCATTGGTGCTGCGGCTCTGTACCTCAGTGCTCCCAGCATTGGTGCTGCTGCGGCTCTGTACCTCAGTGCTCCCAGCATCGCTGCTGCGGCTCTGTACCTCAGTGCTCCCAGCATCGGTGCTACGGCTCTGTACCTCAGTGCTCCCAGCATTGGTGCTGCTGTGGCTCTGTACCTCAGTGCTCCCAGCATCGGTGCTGCGGCTCTGTACCTCAGTGCTCCCAGCATCGCTGCTGCGGCTCTGTACCTCAGTGCTCCCAGCATCGGTGCTGCGGCTCTGAACCTCAGTGCTCCCAGCATCGCTGCTGCGGCTCTGTACCTCAGTGCTCCCAGCATTGGTGCTGCGGCTCTGTACCTCAGTGCTCCCAGCATTGGTGCTGCTGCGGCTCTGTACCTCAGTGCTCCCAGCATCGGTGCTGCGGCTCTGTACCTCAGTGCTCCCAGCATCGCTGCTGCGGCTCTGTACCTCAGTGCTCCCAGCATCGCTGCTGCGGCTCTGTACCTCAGTGCTCCCAGCATCGGTGCTGCGGCTCTGTACCTCAGTGCTCCCAGCATCGGTGCTACGGCTCTGTACCTCAGTGCTCCCAGCATTGGTGCTGCTGTGGCTCTGTACCTCAGTGCTCCCAGCATCGGTGCTGCGGCTCTGAACCTCAGTGCTCCCAGCATCGCTGCTGCGGCTCTGTACCTCAGTGCTCCCAGCATCGCTGCTGCGGCTCTGTACCTCAGTGCTCCCAGCATCGCTGCTGAGGCTCTGTACCTCAGTGCTCCCAGCATCGCTGCTGCGGCTCTGTACCTCAGTGCTCCCAGCATCGCTGCTGCGGCTCTGTACCTCAGTGCTCCCAGCATCGGTGCTGCGGCTCTGTACCTCAGTGCTCCCAGCATCGGTGCTGCGGCTCTGTACCTCAGTGCTCCCAGCATCGGTGCTGCGGCTCTGTACCTCAGTGCTCCCAGCATCGGTGCTGCGGCTCTGTACCTCAGTGCTCCCAGCATCGCTGCTGCGGCTCTGTACCTCAGTGCTCCCAGCATCGCTGCTGCGGCTCTGTACCTCAGTGCTCCCAGCATCGGTGCTGCAGCTCTGTACCTCAGTGCTCCCAGCATCGCTGCTGCGGCTCTGTACCTCAGTGCTCCCAGCATCGGTGCTGCGGCTCTGTACCTCAGTGCTCCCAGCATTGGTGCTGCTGCGGCTCTGTACCTCAGTGCTCCCAGCATCGCTGCTGCGGCTCTGTACCTCAGTGCTCCCAGCATCGGTGCTGCTGCGGCTCTGTACCTCAGTGCTCCCAGCATCGCTGCTGCGGCTCTGTACCTCAGTGCTCCCAGCATCGGTGCTGTGGCTCTGTACCTCAGTGCTCCCAGCATTGGTGCTGCGGCTCTGTACCTCAGTGCTCCCAGCATTGGTGCTGCTGCGGCTCTGTACCTCAGTGCTCCCAGCATCGGTGCTGCGGCTCTGTACCTCAGTGCTCCCAGCATCGGTGCTGCTGCGGCTCTGTACCTCAGTGCTCCCAGCATCGGTGCTGTGGCTCTGTACCTCAGTGCTCCCAGCATTGGTGCTGCTGCGGCTCTGTACCTCAGTGCTCCCAGCATCAGTGCTGCGGCTCTGTACCTCAGTGCTCCCAGCATCGCTGCTGCGGCTCTGTACCTCAGTGCTCCCAGCATCGGTGCTGCGGCTCTGTACCTCAGTGCTCCCAGCATCGCTGCTGCGGCTCTGTACCTCAGTGCTCCCAGCATCGCTGCTGCGGCTCTGTACCTCAGTGCTCCCAGCATCGGTGCTGCGGCTCTGTACCTCAGTGCTCCCAGCATTGGTGCTGCTGCGGCTCTGTACCTCAGTGCTCCCAGCATCGGTGCTGCGGCTCTGTACCTCAGTGCTCCCAGCATCGCTGCTGCGGCTCTGTACCTCAGTGCTCCCAGCATCGGTGCTGCGGCTCTGTACCTCAGTGCTCCCAGCATCGCTGCTGCGGCTCTGTACCTCAGTGCTCCCAGCATTGGTGCTGCGGCTCTGTACCTCAGTGCTCCCAGCATTGGTGCTGCTGCGGCTCTGTACCTCAGTGCTCCCAGCATCGGTGCTGCGGCTCTGTACCTCAGTGCTCCCAGCATCGCTGCTGCGGCTCTGTACCTCAGTGCTCCCAGCATCGGTGCTGCGGCTCTGTACCTCAGTGCTCCCAGCATTGGTGCTGCTGTGGCTCTGTACCTCAGTGCTCCCAGCATCGGTGCTGCGGCTCTGAACCTCAGTGCTCCCAGCATCGCTGCTGCGGCTCTGTACCTCAGTGCTCCCAGCATCGGTGCTGCGGCTCTGTACCTCAGTGCTCCCAGCATCGCTGCTGCGGCTCTGTACCTCAGTGCTCCCAGCATTGGTGCTGCGGCTCTGTACCTCAGTGCTCCCAGCATTGGTGCTGCTGCGGCTCTGTACCTCAGTGCTACCAGCATCGGTGCTGCGGCTCTGTACCTCAGTGCTCCCAGCATTGGTGCTGCTGTGGCTCTGTACCTCAGTGCTCCCAGCATCGGTGCTGCGGCTCTGAACCTCAGTGCTCCCAGCATCGCTGCTGCGGCTCTGTACCTCAGTGCTCCCAGCATTGGTGCTGCTGCGGCTCTGTACCTCAGTGCTCCCAGCATCGCTGCTGTGGCTCTGTACCTCAGTGGAGGCAAAGGAGAGCGAGGCGCCCAAGTACTTTCTGTCCTGGGCCCTGCACGCCTCTATCTCCATGCACCCTGACTGCCAGAAGGACTGACTGCAGGAAGTCTGTCCCCATCCTCACTCCTACCTTTGTTTTTACCTCTAGGGTTTGTCAGTCCCTTCACCTGAAGGCAAGGCCTACCTCTTGACGTGGCCCTGTAGGATGGCTGCTGGGGAAATTCAGGGGAAATGAGGTTGTTAGCGTGCCCTCAGAGCAGATGTCTGAGAACATGTGGTCTGGCAGATGTTGTAAAGTCCCCTGGAATAATCTCCTTTCTTTGTTTCTGCTTCTCTTTGCTGTCTATCTACATCTGGATCTTTACTTCAAACTGTTGGGACTCCATTTAGTTGCTTGTTCTCTTTCCAAGTCATAGGAAGAACTCTGGGAAAAGGAGAGAGTCCAGGCTCCTGGTTTCATGATGATAGGATCCCAATAAAACAGGGGTCTGTACTTCTCAGGCTTCCAGTGTGAGTTTTTCTTTTAATTAATGTTTTTGTTTTTGCTAAATGAGGGTGCTGAGGGTGTACTTTGGTGGCAGAGTACTTTCCTATGCAAGACCATAGATTCAATTCTCAGCAATATAAAAATTAAATACATACATGTGATTGACATTTTATAATTTCATGAGACTTTTAAATAAATACATCTTGGACAGCAGGCTGGGAATGTGGCTCAGTGGTAGATTGCTTGTCTAGCATGCATGAAGCCCTGGGTTCAATGCCTGAGTACCACATAAACAGAAAAAGCCAAAAATGGCACTGTGGCTTAAATGATAGAATGCCAGCTTTAAGCAAAAGAAGCTCACGGACAGTGCCCATACCCTGAGTTCAAGCCCCAGGATTGGCAAAAAAAAAAAAAAAAGTACAGCAATGGGAATGGGAATATACTTACCACTGCTGAAACACACACTGACAATGTTAAAGAAAAAAATTGATGTTTAATGTATATTTTACCAGAATGAAAAAAAACTAAGGCATTCATTAGGAAAAATTTCTTGAGGGCTAGGAAGGTGGCTCAGTGGTAGAGCGCTTGCCTTGCATGCTGAAGCCCTGGGTTCGAATCCTCAGTACCACATAAGCAAAAAGAAAAAAGCCAGAAATGGCGCTGAGGCTCAAGTGGTAGAGCACTAGCCTTGAGCTGAAGAGCTGAGGGACAGCGCCAAGGCCCAGAGTTCAGGCCCCACGACCGGACCCCCCCCAAAAAAATTTCTTGAGTAGGTAAGATGATTTACAACTACATTTCTGCGAAACTCTGCTAATGGTCCTGGTGGAAATTTATTCTGCTGAGAAATTTAGAAGTGTCACCTGCACTCAGTCTACCTGACTTGACTCCAAAGTCAGGTAGACTTTGTGAGACCAAAGAATCAGACACTCCAACCTATGTACAAATAATCAGAAATTCAGAATTATTAGAGTCTGTGGGAAGTTCCCCTGGGCCCTGTGTTAGGTAAATTAAATAGGTAGGTTTAATTAGGTAGCCAATAAAGAGAACACCACGTGGTGTGCAGGCAGGAAGAGAAGTTTATTGTTTTACAGAACTGCTGCCCCTCCATGCATGGTGGAGATCACACCGTCAAAGGGGACAACCAACCATCCCCAAGCCAAGACTTACCTAGGCCAGGGACAGGAAGAGGTGTGGCCAGGTGGGGGAAAGATATGTCCACACTGAATCTGGATGTGACCTCAGGGCCTGGGACCCCCCCCCTTCCCGTCTGATGGGAGGTGTGAACACGGGTGACTCAGGATGTGACCTGGGAAGAGGGGAAGGTGACTGCTTCCAGGTGTGCCAGTTACTTAGGTAAAGCAGGTTCTGGGCAGAGACTTTATCAGGAAGTGGAGAGGCCAAGGCCGGCATGGCCCAGGACAGACCTTTCACCCTGTAAGAAAAGAAACAAGAAACTCAACAATCCAACAGGCTTTATTGGGGAGTGAAGTCTGGGAAGGGCAACCAAGTGTCCTTTCCCCCCTCCCCCACGCCTCTTACAACTAGGGTCTCTTTAAATAAACGGAAGGAATGAAGTCAGGTGGGGCCGATGGGAGCGGGGTGAGGAGGCAGCGAGCAATGAATGTTATTTTGACTGAGGAGTTTCAAGTTCTCAACAGAATCTGAGTCCACTGGGGCATCAGCCTCCCTTGTGGTTTTGGTCTTAGGCTCCCTTCTAAGACCACAGGGTATGTTTGTTCAGGGGACAGAGGAGAGGAGATGTTTCAGTGGGTCGGCAGCAAGGGTAGTTCTAAGATATGGCTATGGGAGGCTGGTGTTGGGGGGAAGGTGAGCGCTTTCATTTTAAGTCATTTTCCATCAAGCTCCGGGTGTTCCAACAAAGTATTGGCAAATTCTTCCACCTTTCAGGGTAGATTCCTACAATCTCGGAATAGTTAGATGGTCTTCCCAATACACCACTTCACGTCATTCCTGTCCCCATTCGCCATAATTACAGCTTGCAGCAGTGTGAATCATTACCCTGAGAACCCTCAACACAACCTTGTGAAAGAAACAGTTTAATTATCCCTACTTTACAAATTGAATAAAAAGAGATAGCGTGTACAGAGAGTTCTTTTTTTTTTAACCCTATTAAGGATTGAACCCAAGGCCAAGATCTCACACTTTCTAGTATATACTCTACCAGAGTTGTATCCTCAGCATTAAAAATTTTTAATTGTGGAAAAGTCCACATAATATACAATTTACTGCCTTAAAATATTATGAGTGTTTGTACATCCAGTCTGCAAGTTCTCAGATAATAACCCCTTCCCAGACTCTGGCCTCCACCAATGTTTCTGTTTCTACGTTCTCTGTCATGTAAGTGGAATCATGTGTTTGTCTTTTCGTAACTAATTTATCCATGTTGGAGCACATATCAGAACTTCCTAGAATGTCTGTTGTACAAACTGCCAGTGTCTCAGATGAATAATAATGTGTACAATACTGTGATTATTCTTAATGTCCCTGAACTGAACACTTAAAGATGGCTAAAATGGGGGCTGAGAATGTGGCTTAGTGGTAGAGTGTTTGCCTAGCATGCATGAAGCCTGGGTTTGATTCCTCAGTATCACATAAACAGAAAAAGCTGGAAGTAGCACTATGGCTCAAGTGGTAGAGTGGTAACCTTGAGCACAGAGAGGCTCAGGGGCAGTGCCCAGGTCCTGAGTTCAAGCCCCAGGACTGGCACAAAAAAAAAGATGACTAAAATGTAGCTGTGAGTGGTGGCACACACCTATTCTCTAAGCACCCATGAGACTGAGGAAGGAAGTTCATGAGTTTAAGGCTAGACTAGGCTACATGTTAAGACTTTATCTAAAAAAAAAAAAAAAGACAACTAAAGCATGAACAACAACAACAACAAAAAGAGGTTATTTGTCCAAGCATATAAAGTAGGTAAGTGGCATTTTATGTCCAAATAGTAGTCTCCCAGCTCAACCTTTCCTCTATTTGATGAGTCTTCTATACTGGTGGGTTCTTCATCCAAACATTCAGCCAACGCACTAGATAAAAACTTTAAAAAAAAAAATCCTGTTGCTGCTAAAGTGTACTATATATTTAGGCCTGCAATGATTGTACCTGTAACTGAATTTCACAAACATTTTTCCCTAGATAAGACAGTGTAACGACTATTTACATAGCATTTACACTGTATTAGGTGTTCTGTCAACTAGAGATGACTCTGCCTATACAGAAGAGTGTGTGGGCTGAGAAGGTGGCTCAGTGGTAGAGTGCTTGCTTCACTTGCATGAGGCCCTGGGTTCCATTCCTCAGCACCATAAACAGAAAAGGCCAGAAGTGGTGCTATGGCTTAAGTGATAGAGCACTAGCCTTGAGCTGAAGAGCCGAGGGACAGCGCCCAGGCCCAGAGTTCAAGCCCCACGACTGACCAAAAAAGAAGAAGAAGAAGATGAGGAGGAGGAGGAGGAGGAGGAGGAGGAGTGTGGGTAGGTTATATGTCAATACTATCATTGGATATTGGGAAATCAAGTGTCCTTAGATTTTGGAATGACAAGAAATCTTGGAACCAGTCTCCTGAGAATAATTACAGAGGACCACACGGTCCCTCCTAACAAAAGTTACACAGATGTGGAGCCTGTAATCCCGAGTCCTTCCATGAAATCTCAGAGGTTGTCAGCATGGTGGCAGACTCATATTTAGGGATTCATTATCAATAAGAATTGGCAGCCAGTGCTGGGCTTTCAATGGGAGAGAAATGTCAGATCCCACAGAATGTAGGCTGGGATGTACAGCTCAGACATTGCCTAGTGTGTGCAAGGTCTTTGGTTCCATCCTAGTACCATAAAAAGAGAGAGAAAAAAGGGAGAGGAATGAAAAGTGACGGTGGTGGATCTACCACCTCTTCCACCAATAGGCTGCTAGGCACTTGGGTCAGATGATGGGGGAAAATGGAAGAAGAAGCCACAGTGTACATGGAGGGCTGAGAGCCTCCATGGTTGGTCTGGGTGTGTGGAGGGCGGAGGCGGGGGGGGGGGCAGGGAGGGCATCCAGGACTGTTTCAGAAGCTTGTTGTGAGATGGTGTGCCAAGAGCCATGTCTAATGAGGGTTCTGGTGAGGCCACCAAGAGGAGGGCGTTCACATCCTCTCCCTCAATGGGGTTTCCTGAGAGAAGAGGAACAAGGAAAGAGAGCTGTCCCCGAGGGGCATCTGAGATGGAAAGAAACAAGAACAAAAGCTGTTCCTGGAAAATGAAGAGCACCAAGGTCTACAGATCATAGGACCTCTAGTCCCATACCTTCTCCAGTGTCTGGGATAAGACTGCATCCTGGCATGGGGGATAACATCCTCCCGAAATCACACTTTATCCCCTTTTCAGACAGAAATAGACTGCCATCTGAGAAAATGAGGTTGGGGCGGAGGGGCAGGGGACGGGAAGCCAGGCACTGGTGGCTAACAGCTGTAATCCTCAGGAGGCTGAGATCTGAGGATCACGGTTCAAAGTCAGCCCAGGCAGAAAAGTCTGTGAGACTCTTATCTCCAGTTAACCACCAGAAAACTGGAAGTGGCGCTATCGCTCAAGGTGGT